CCAAGTGTATCAAAAATTATATTGAAAGCAGCACAGGTTTTGCTGACATTATATTTAAGCAATGAAAGGTCAAAGGTTACGTTAGAGAATTCCCAAGCTTGAGCCGCTCACAAACTTTTGTGACGAAGCAGGAACACCAGTTTTCATGAGAAATAGTTCAGTAACTTCCATTTATTGAATTAATTGTGGTCTGGTAAAAATGATTAACAAGATAAAAAAAATAAGTTATTATAATTAACCAACTAAATATATACACTAGATTTTTCCGATAGCCGACCGCTGACTCAGGGGTAATTCTGAGGACTTATAAATTTGAAAATCAGGTTTCGATACCCGCGGTGGGCAGAGTACAGATAGCCCATTTTGTGCTTAACAACAAACAAGAAATTCCCTATAATATTAAAACAAACCTTGCCATCTATCAGCGATATGCTGATTTTCGTGAATTAAGTACATAACTTCTCTGATTATTTTTGAACGATTATTAAAAGCAACATTTAATGTTAACGATAAAATACCGGAAAAACAAAACAGTTCAACAGATGTTGAAATTTACATGTATACATATAACATCATATAAAAGAAATGATTCACATTTTTTAGCCTGTGAGGCGTTATTTCTATAGTTCGCTACCTTTTCATTCATTTCACGACAACAATAACCGTTTTAGACAACGTTAAGTGGTGGTTAAAATTACCTTATTACCACTTAGCCTTTAAAAACTGGGGTGTCCTCTCTATTTACCGCCACAGACTAGCTTATTGTGTGACGAGCAAGCTAGTGATACCCTTCACTTAAGAACGTAAGGAGGAAGCCAGCATTATCTGTATATACATTCTCACTACTACTGGAAGGGCCTCTTTTCATCAATACATCGATCCCTACAACAGTCTATGGCAATTATTTGTCACAGAAATACATGTTCTCTCTGCACCCCTAAGCGGCTGGTTTACCTAGTTGAATGTTTAAAATAATAGTAACAATTAATGAACCACATGATAAGTTATTTATTTCAATCGTCATCGCTTCATAGATGACATACGAGAGAATGAATTCGGATTTCAATACATTATGCATCATTCAAAAATATACTTACTTCTAAAAGTGTTACTATCGTTTAACCTCCACGTGAATTAAATTGATAACTATCTTACGCGTGCCTTTTGTCGTTTAGTAAAAGTTAGGGCCGGGCTGCGTATCGCAACGTCCGAGGTTCGAGCCCGTGATATATGGGCCCGTTATAAGTAAAATTCAATTACGCTATTTGGTTAAAGGTAAGAGTAGCTGTGTGAGCGGTGAGTTCTATTCACTATTTGATATTCCTCTGGTTGGCAGTTTCAAATTAGAGACGACTATTCCTGAACCTCTGCATTATTGCATAATGTGTTGAACAAATCGAAAATACCAAATACTAGTAAAAGGTAATGCAACAAAATAATGGAATGATACAGACAACACCACTCAATAGCCTCCAATGGATGAACAGTAACTTTACTGACTTACAGCGCTAAAATCCTGGTTCGATTTCTTGCGGTGGACAGAGCGCAGATAGCCCATTGCGTAGCTTTTTGCTACAAAGAAACCACCACTCAACTGAGAAAAATTCATATTAATAAAACTTATTTAAAATTCTAACGACCAAATCACATTTTATTGGACAAACATTGGTCAGAAGTTTGAAAACAAAATTGATAGCACATCTTTACGTTTTGATATTACTTATATTTGTACATTCTTCAAAAAACATGGCTTAAAACTAAAATCTAAATAACACAAAGTCACAGAAGAAAAACAAAGGTTTTTAGAAAGAAAAACTATTCCTCTAACAATCTAAAAGTATTTCGCGTGAAAATAGTATTACAGGGAAAATGTATTGTGAAAATAACAGCATCATGCCGTGTTCCAGAGAGCAGATATTGTGATAATAACAAAGCATTGTGCCGCGTTCAAAGGAACAGATATTTTGGTGATAACATAGCATTATGCCGTGTTCCAGAGAGCAAATATTGTGATAATAACATAGCACTGTGTCGTGTTCAAAGCAACAGATATTTGGGTGATAACATAGCATCATGCCGTGTTCCAGAGAGCAGATATTGTGATAATAACAAAGCATTGTGCCGTGGTCAAAGGAACAGATATTTTGGTGATAACATAGCATTATGCCGTGTTCCAGAGAGCAAATATTGTGATAATAACAAAGCATTGTGCCGTGGTCAAAGGAACAGATATTTTGGTGATAACATAGCATTATGCCGTGTTCCAGAGAGCAAATATTGTGATAATAACATAGCATTGTCCCGCGTTCAAAGCAACAGATATTTTGGTGATAACATAGCATTATGCCGTGTTCCAGAGAGCAAATATTGTGATAATAACATGGCATTGTGCCGCGTTCAAAGGAACAGATATTTTGGTGATAACATAGCATTATGCCGTGTTCCAGAGAGCAAATATTGTGATAATAACATAGCATTGTGTCGTGTTCAAAGAAACAGATATTTGGGTGATAACATAGCATTATGCCGTGTTCAAGGGAACAGATATTGTGATAATAACAAAACGGTTGGTATATTGCCGTTGCTGGGTGACATGTAGAACTGATTGAATAAAGGAAATCAAACTATTTTATCTCATACGTAATCTTTGATGTGGAAAACTACTCGGATCACTAAAATATAGTTTCAAAGAAAAAAAAAGAAAGAAATATCTTAACTAATTTGAAAATGAGAGACAGAAATATTAAACTTTTTAACTAATGACAGGATGGAGACATTAATGAAAAATAGATAAAATTATACCGATTTCAAATTCTCATAAAAACAACAGAATTTCACCATAAGGTTGATAAAACTACGAAATATATTGAAGATCGATGGCCAAACAATACATACGTACATAAGAAGGGGGATTAATATAATAGTGCTTACCTAATTAGACATCATTGGCCAAACAATACACACGTACATAAGAAGGGGGATTAATATAATAGTGCTTACCTAATTAGACATCAATGGCCAAACAATACATACGTACATAAGAAGGGGGATTAATATAATAGTGCTTACCTAATTAGACAT